AACAGAGCATACTACAGGAGTTAAGAAGAGGCACTGGTTAGCAAAGCGAGTTCCCCATGTCAACGCCCCCCCCCCCCCCCACCCGACCTTGCCTCCTAGACCGCCGTCCACCCCTGACCGAAGGGCTTGACCGCCGCCCGACAGCCTGCCGCGGCGACTCCGAGTCTCCCTCAACGCCGGGGCGGGAGAGGCACACTCGCTCGGGCGGTCTGGCAGCCGCGGCGGAGTGCGTGCGGGGAGAGAGACCCGACTTCCTGGCCTCAACCTCGACCTCTGCGGCGGGTCGCGGGGTCGCTTCCGTCCAATCAAAATCAACAAGCAAAAGAGGGGAGAGAAAATTACACCGCAACGCCCGCTTTTTTGTGGCCGCCCATTACACGGCGTAAGATCCATCCCGCTCTCGGTGCGCGCGGATGACTTCATATTCGCGGAGTTTGCAATCGCTCTTCTGTAATGGTGGATGCAAATGGCTTCGTGGCGAACACACGCGCGGATCGTGGTTCTGCGCTCCGGACGATTCTGCCGCGATCTCTTGCAACCGGCGAGGGTCTCTTCCCCGCGTATCAAACAAGCGAAAACCTCACTACCTCACATCCCCAGCGGTGCCCTGACGAGACCTGCCACAGTGAGATATTCCAGTTCGATTCCAGCCCCATGACCTGCGCCCCTGGAAAAGGGTTGTGCCAGTGACCTGATTACGTGGAGCCATTTCCCGCATAATGAACCTCGGAGAAGTCTCGCGACCTGTGGCGGCGGAGAGCGGCGGTCCGCGGCCCTTCGAGGAGCGCCGGGATTTCCCGCCTCGGACTCGAATGGCTCCCTCGGATCTTTATCTCTCCCCGCGCTCGCCTTTTCCTCCCGCCATCCCTTTTCTCTCGACACTTCATTCCTTTCCTTATTACTTGCTCTTCTCCATTCCTCTTTATCTTTCCTTTTTCCCTCCCTCTTCCTTCCTCTGTCCCCTACCATCCTTCCTTACTCCCACCCACCACCCTCCTTCCTTCCCTCTCCCTCCCTCCCTCCTTCCTTCCTCCTCACTTCACCTTCTCCCTCCTTCCTTCCTTCCTCTTACCTCCCACTTCGTCGAATAGTCCCCAATGACGCAATGACACAAAATGACACTATTAACGAAAGTCCCGAAGGTGAGCGCAATGCCTCCGGAAATATTGTGTCACCGGATGTCACATAATAAACAGGTAGGCCTACATTTCCCCTCCTCGGCCTTTCGAGGGCACCTGCCGACACGCTGAGCACGGATTCATTCTTCTCACTTCTTTTCCACTCGCCCCGACCTCCCCCTTTTCCCTTCTTGCATTTCCTTTCCTTCTACCTATTCCCCTTCTTTTAATTCCTTCTCTCCTTCCCCTTTTCTCATTTCATTTTCCCTTCTATCATTTCCTTCACTGCTTCCTATTCCCCTTCTTTTATGCCTATCTCTCCTTCCCTCTTTCCCCTTTCTCATTTACTTCTCACCCTCCCCCTTCTTCCCCTTCTCTTTAGTTTCTCCTTTTCCCCTTCTTTCCCTTCCATCCATTCCCTCTCATCCGCTTTCTCTCTCACTCCCTTCTCCTCCACACCCTTGCATCACCACAATCCTCGAGCATCGGGAGCTTGGCCTCGCGCTTGCCTCCTCACTTCGCGTCGAGGAAACGTTTGCGAAGCGCTTGCGATCCCCGCCGGGCGCCCTCGCTCGCAAACTTCCGGTGAAAACACGCGCGTGCGAAAATGTGTGTCACAGCGTCGTTTCATTGGTGCCTTGTTTTCTCATGAAGTATGTGGCATTTCAAGCGATCGCCCTCGCCCCCACACCCGGTACCGCAGCACATCATTACGAGTGTAATCCATGTACTTCCCAAGCCCCCCCCCCCCTCCTCCTTCGAAGAGCTACACCCAACGGCACAAAACGGCGCCCGCCACTTTCCCGGCGCCATCCCCGGGGAAACTTATCAACGGACCAAAATACTCACACTGGAAGGCATCGCTGAGGGCGGGGCGAACATCAAGCCGTTTTCCCATTGCGCCAGACTTGCCACGGGCACCGAGGAGGAAGAGCAGGAGGAGAAGGAAGGGCGGAGCAGGGGGAGAAGAGCAGGGGTCGGGGAAAGAGGAGCAGAGGAATATATGGTGAAGAGGAATAAGAGGAGGGACTGATCCACGGGCAGGCTCGCAGAGGCGCACACGGTGAGCTCCTCCTCTGGGCACGACGGGCAGCCTCGGGGGCATCAGCATGGCGGGGCACAACATTGGTGGCGACGCGAGAATCGAGGCGATGGGACCGATCGGTATTGGCGCCAAGACGGCTCAAGGATAACAGACTGCGCGGGAAGGATCATTTCTGCTTTATACCTTGGCCAGGATACGGCCTCGGTGCCATTATCCTGTGACGTCAGCCTTCCGCCGGATTCCTATTCTGCCTCGGCTCATGACGCAAAGACACCGACTCTTGCGATCGTTTGGCGCCGTTCCGGCTGGCACTCCCATCGCCAGAGTGCCGTTCCATTTTGCCAGCGATCATGATCATGAGCTGATGTTCATGGTCGATGACTTTACTAAGGAATTATAACGATACTTCGTTTCGCAGACTGATAAATCCGGCCATAAAATCTATATAAAAGGATCTGCTGTTGCTCTATGGCAAATGGCGTGAAGATATACTCAACTCATTTTTGTGGAACAACGACAGACTCCTGATCATATGAACAATACGTTATTCAAACAACAGCATATTCCTTTATCGTATAAACAAAACACGCTTGTAAAAACAGCGGTTAACTCCCCAGATCACACCATCAAAACATTTCCCCTTTCAAGCGGTAAAAGTCCCTCCATAACATTTTCCCTCAATTATATCCGATCCCCCCCTCCCCATCTTGTTCCAAGCTCTCCAGATGTTTTGCGAAGATATGACGTTCGGCCGTCCCGCGCGCACAGAATAACTGCCCCGCATCCGACGCGTCCTCGCCACTCGCCTTCCGTAGCCTTTTTTTTTTTTTTTTTTTTTTAGCTGTGCTTTGTGCTTTCCTGTCATCTCGTGGCCGACTCAGGGCGCGTTCGTCCTCCCCTTCGGCCCCGACGGGAAAGCTCGAGTGCGTCGGAACAGAAGCTTTCCGGGACTGTTCCTTCAGTGACAACTTCTGTCCGTGCAATCCCATGCTAACAATAAATAAAGGAATGACTCAATATCATAATAGTTTGTGCTCACTGGCTTCTCTTTAGGTGGTTACCATGACAAAAAAGCGCCGTGCCAATCCCAGATGTCACGACTCAATTCTAAACGATTAGAAAAAAAATCGATACCAAAATGACATATTCATATCCCTAACCCAAAAAAGCAGACGATTATGTGTTCGATAATGAAACTGGATTTACAATTAATCACTTAATACGATACTCTCATTACGACTGGCGTATACTAATGATGAAGTTTCATTCATATCTAAAACAATCACTGAAGCTGACTGCATAAAAGCATTACACCAAAAATGCCGATCTGTTTGAGAAGACAATGAAACAAGGGCATTTCGGCTGTAAATGGCGTTCCGGTGTTAGTAATTCCTGTCCGGGGAAATTATACAATTCCTCCTTTTCTTGCTCACAGGCATCCCGAGGACAATAGCTTTCGATTTAAGCTTTATATCGACCCTGCAAGTTGACAGCATGCACTTACTATTCCTCGTGAGCGACAAAGACCACGGCTTGTTAACTTACTTTGTCTGCGTCCTCGTCCTCGTGGCTGGAGGTAGACTTGTTGTGGTCGCTGGTGGGCGTGAGGGGCGCTTTGGGCGGGCTGTCCGTCGAGGTGTCCAGCGAGCACTTGAGTCGCTGGAGCTTGAGTCTGTCCTCGGCGTCGGACGGGGACGCGGCGATGCTCCTCAGGCCGGCCCTTCCGAGCGTCAGGGAGGTGGGCGTGGGCGGGGACCGGCGCCCCTGGTGCTTGTGGCGGTCTAGGGTGGTTGTGCGGTGGGCGGGGGAATGGGCGGGCGAGTGGCTGGGTGTGTGGGCGGAGTGTGGGCGGGAGGTCGCAGGTCTAGCGGGGGCGGCTCCTCCCAGATGCACGAGTCCACGCACGAGGAGATCCTCGCCCGCCCCCCCACCCTGGTTGCCACGCCGCCCCCCCGCTGCGCCTGCGACTGAGGCTGCGGCTGCTGCGGCTTCTGCGGCGGCGCGGCTTCTGCGGCGGCGTCGGCTTCTGGTAGCGACGGGCGGCGGGTCGCGGGCGGGGACGTCGGGTGCAGGTCGCGGGTGTCCATCTTTATGACGTGGTCGGCCACGATCCTGGGCTGGTGCAGGCCGGGCTTGGGCGCGGCTCCCGGCGGGCTGCGCGGGGCTGTGGGGCTGCGTCTGCGAGGCGTAGGGCGAGGAGAGCGGCGTCGAGCAGCTGTGGGAGAACTCCCCTGGGGGCGAGGGGTCCCTGGGCGGGGGAGGGGGCACGCCGTCCCCAGGGTGGGGCGCGGGCGCGGCGTCGTCGTGCCTGTCGCTGGCGGGGAAGGTGTCGCTGCAGGTCTCGCTGAAGGCCTCGTCGTGGCAGGAGGAGCCGCCCGCGCTGGACGCCGACGACGACGACGAGGGCGGCGAGAAGGCGTCGTCGTTGTCGCTCACCGTCACGCCCGAGTCCTGCTCGTCGTCGCGCTCGCCGCACCTTCGCGCCCACTCCAGCACCGCCCTCGAGTCCACCCACTGGCGGTTGGGCGCCGCCCACTCGTCGTCCGCATCGCAGAGCGACATGGCGCGGGTCTGCCGTGACCGCCCTCGGCCGAGGCGGGACCTGATGGCGTGCAGCGGGCCATTGCTGCTGCTGGTGCTGCTGCTGGAGGTGTTGTGGGCGTGGTCACGGTGCCGCATCATGTGCACGCGGTCGCCGCCGCCCACGAGACCCTCGTGGTCGGGCGTGGGCGTGACCACGTGGCGTGCGGGCGAGCCGATGTTGCGCCATCGAGACACCAGCGACGACCACTGGCTCTCCACGCGGCGGCGGAACCTCGGCGACCCTGGGGGAGAGAGGACACGTTAGGACACGTTAGGACACATGCAGGCGATGGGTTGCGAATACGACCTAAGATGTTTGCTGTAAATTGTTAATGTAACCAAAGATAATGGTGTTATTTATGTATATGACATAGTTGTCGTTTATATGACCTCAGTAATTTCAGTCCTGCGATTCGGGTAACCTGAGGTACTGCATTTGTTTATTTTTTGGACGATATTACCATCATGTGTTCATATGATCGCATACCTGCTGTTAGTTGTTTGTAACCCAGACCACTGTTGTGCTTTGTTCACTGTCATCTTCGTTTCGTAATCTACACGACAAATCAAGCCTAAAGCATCTCCACCCATGACAGACTCGCGCCGCAGCAGACATCCCGGGAAGGGCTCGCAGACGAGCAATTACCGCCCCTGGGGTTGTTGGCCATTGTAAGCAAGGGGAGTGTCAATAGCGGTTCATCCCTTAAGCAGAGCGCGCGGGTGAGAGGGGCGCCGGAAGGGTACGGCCCGAGATCTCTTAATGGCTGTTGTTCTGTTGACAGGATCGTGGGTGGCGGGACGGGCGGCTGCGGGGCACGTCGCGGCTCGCCCAAGAATCAATTTCAAGCGCCAGAACCTCTGCACTTATCTTAAGTTGGGCATATTAGAGAGTTCTGCTACGCCCCCACAATGGGTGCGTTGGTGATTTGGCCGCCCAAATAGATAATGACGAGGGGGAGTGGTGGGTGCGGGGGCGAGGTGGGAATGGGGGGGGGAGGTTAATGGAGAGGCTCCTTCCGTCTGTTCGAGTTTTTTAGGGCAATGAGGTGAGGGCTTCCAGGGCCTTGTGGTCGTGCCTGCCTGGCGACGGTTGTGCCACACCGCTGTTGGTCTTAATAAGCTATTGTTGTCATTGATATATTCAGGCCATGTGCTAAGGCTGATTCAGTATTCTGGCTATCACGACGCGGCCGCAAAAGTGGCGGTGACTCACATGTATTCAGAGTCGGGGGTCGCCCCTCCCCCTCCTCTCCCCCAGGGGAAGGAAGCGACACTCCCTCGCTGACTATTTCCTAAAGCTAAGGTGGTGGTAGTGGTGGGGGGGAGGGGGGGGACTACGGCGTATGTAGCTCGAGTCTCCAATAAGTTCAACTCAGTCTTGTCTGTCTCAGTTTGTTTCAACTAGCCTGTTTTCCTTTCAACAAAAAACCCGCCCTTTCCGCTGCCCCTCCAATCTTTTCCCCTCCATACCCACAGGCAGTAATGGGCAAATTTCCCCTTAATCCCCTCCTTAGTAACAGGCCCCCTCCCCCCTCCTCCTCCCCATCCCTAAAGTGGGACTCCAGCTTTGTGCTCTTCCTTTCCTTCACAAGTTCCGCCCGCTCGTTAGTATTAAGTTCCCTTCCTCTTTCCTTTATCACACTCCTCTTCCCACGCCCCTTATCGCCGCGTTTTACACCTTCCTGTTGGTCTAGCTTTATCGCTTTATGTTTTTTTTCCTCGCTTACAAACAAACTTGGCTGGAAGAGCACGTGCGTCCCGTGGGCGGACGTATTAGCCCAGCAATGCGTGTATGGGCGTGATAATGAAGTTCCTGGGAATGCGACCGCACGCCCGCAGACGAGTATCAAGTTTTTGGTTCGCTAACCGCACTCCCCCCCCCTCCCTCCCTCCACCCCACCCCGCTCTTGCCAGCCTCGCAGACACGCTAGAGGCCGCACGATAATCGCCATCGCATTCGCTACTGTTGCATCCACTGCTGCGAGAAGCGACGCGCGTAGAGGCAAAGGCGGAGATCGCGCTACGGCGGCGAGAGGCGAAGCACGAAGAACGAGGAGAGGGAAGACTGGAAGGAAAGCCCCGAAGGTGCTCCGGCGCGGAAGGACCGAGGCGAGACAGGAGAGAGCAGAGACCAAGGAACGAAAAGAAGATGCAGATGCAGGAATTGTCCGAGTGAGGAGTGACGGGCGCGGAGGAGGAGCAAGAAGAAGAAGAGGGAGAGGAAGAAGAGGAGGAGGAGGAGGAAGAGGAGGAGGAGGGTGATGATCTGGCGACGGTGTCAGTCCGAGCGGGAAACGCCATCGCTTCCCTCTGAGTGACTCGCGCGCACGTGCAGCGCCGCATAATGCCCCGTAAATGAGAAGATTATCGCAGCACACCCTCGAAGTCCCGCGGCGCCCGCTCACCTCTCGTCCGCACCTGCATCTTCCAACCCCGTCGTTCCCACCACACGCCCACGCGCCAAGACGGGACACACGCCCAAGCCACCACGCACGGCCGCCCATGTGTGGTCGACTAGAACGCCCATTGCGAAGTCACATCTGCCACTGCCGCCCCCGCCCCCTCTCCTCGTGCACGCCTGAAGGTGGAGGCAGGTCGTGGCCCCGACTTTGGTCTGTTCAAGCAACGCCTTCCAACAATGTTTGGAACAATGATGATATTCCCTACAATTATGCCACTGAAGTCCCCTCAGAGAATGAACAGCTGCCGTGCTCGTCACCTCCCGAATCCTCATTCAGTCGGGAAGCACATTATCTCTTAAAAAAGCCATGCCTCACCCTGGACGAAACCTTCCTTACACATCGATCGGAAAAAGGAAACACTCGGAGGAAAGGGCTCCTTCGGGTTAAACCTCCGCCCTTCACAAACCGACTCTCACCCTCAACGCTCCCTCCCCGAGTTATACACACTTACCTTAACCCCTTCCTCCTTCCTCCTTCTTCTTCCTCCTCCTCCTCCTCCTCCTCCTCCTCCTCCTCCTCCTCCTCCTCCTCCTCCTCCTCCTCCTCCCACTTCCCGCAACCTCACCCGGATCTCACACAGGCAGCCCGAGAAGGAACAGAGGGAGCAAGGGTGAAGTCGTGGAACGCGGGGAGGGAGGAAGGGGGAGGGAGGCAGCAAGGGGAAGAGAACACGGAGTCGGACGGTGACGGCAGGGGAGGGACAGAGTGGGCGAGGAGAGGGAGACAGAAGGGAGGGAAGGGGAGGGAAGGGGAGGGAAAGGAATACAAGGAGGGGGATGGGGAGGGAAGGGAAAAGGGGGAAGACGAGGGGAACACACCCCAGATCATGAGAGGTCACCAACACTAACCGACGTAGCGGCTGGGAGAGCAAAGCCTGCTTGCGTGGGAGGTAAGGTGAGTGGGAAGGCGAGCCCGAGGAGGAAGGAGAAAGGGAAGAGCCACACGAAGGGAAAAGAGAAAGGAGACGACGACGAAGAGGTAAAAAGTGAGAAGAGGGGAAGTAGGAAGGACATTAAAGAGAGAAAAAAGACCGCCCCGACTCGCATTCAGGACAATACATTACCCTTCCTTCTCTCCTCTCTCTCGACACTTCTTCTCTTCTCCCCCTTACTCCTCCTCCTCCTCCTTCCTCATTCTTCCGTCCTCAACATCCCTTTCACCCTCTCGCGCCTCCCGACCCCGCGCTGACAATGGTCAATTGCGAAAAGTGGAAATGCCAACAGCTTTACGTAACAAACTATTTAGGACGACAAATTTGCGGTGAATGTTGGGCGGCAGAGGGGGGGAGGGCGAGGAAAACCAAAGGACAGAGGGAGTCCCACAGACACACAGATCACACACAAAGCACGGAGTTACAATGTTCATTTATTCATCCTCAACACACACACACACACACACACACACACACACACACACACACACACACACACACACACACCTACGAATCACAAAAGTTTTTCTTTCTTGTGCGCATATGAGGCCATGAGGCACGGGCAACATGGCTGCTACCAGGACGTCAGAAGCAATATCGTCCATGAGTCCTAAGCCTGAGTCACAGAGTCCTCGGCAGCCGATGATAAGCGCTGAAGAAGGGACCGCCTTCAAGGAGACAGAGAGGGAGACAGCGGGGGAAGGTGCAATGAAAAAAAAAGTTTGCGTATATATACATATATACGTACAGTGTATGTAAGAAAGAGAGGAAGGAAGGTGGGGGGAGGAGAAAAAAGGGATGGGAAAGAGAAAGATCACACACACACACACATATATATATATATATAATATATATATATAATATATATATATATATATATATATATATATATATATAGAGAGAGAGAGAGAGAGAGAGAGAGAGAGAGAGAGAGAGAGAGAGAGAGAGAGAGAGAGAGAGAGAGGAGAGAGAGAGAGCGAAAAGAGAGAGAGAAAGAGAAAGAAAGACAGAGACTGACTCAAGTCCTCCTGCCCACCGAGAACAAACAAATGCACACAAGAGAGGGCAGATCCCCATCGTGTTTTCCGGCGGCGCCATCAACTTCCACTCCAGTCCACTCAATCCCCACTCCGCCACCTCACCCACGTTCCACCGTCACCCCTTCAGCCGGACCAAAGCTCCGTCGCTATTCTTTTTAATGCACAGGCATGAGCTGGCGTACACACACACACACACACACACACACACACACACGTACATTTAGGGATCTACAGTACAGTATCTCCTCTCCCTCTCTCCCTTTTGATCTCTGTCTCCCCTTTCTTTCTCACACGCGCAGATGTTCCATAATAAAATGCCACACATTATCGACCGAAAACGGGGGAGGGGAGAGAATGGGGAAGGATAAGGGACCACGCTCCATAAATGGTCAATTTTAGGGGTGTGACTCATGAGGCGAGGCGGAGAGGGGTGAAGGGGCTGGGGAGGGAGGGGAGAGAAGGGAAGGGTGAAGGGGCAGGGGAGGTGAAGGGAGAGAGGGGGAGGGGAGAGAGAGAGAGAGAGAGACAAGGGTAAAGGCGCAAGGGGAGGTGGGAGAGAGGGTGAACGGGCAGGGGGAGGGAAGGCCGAGGGGAGGAGAGGGAGAGGGGGCCCCCTAGCCACTGTACGCACACGACCTCGTCATCTCTGCCCTGTATGAGTGCACCAGCGCGTTTCACAAGGCGCTCACGTTGGAAAGTAAAAACATGGTAAGGGCGGCCTAGTCGAGTGCATCGGTACAGTTACCAATGCTACAGCATGAAGTCGAACAACAATTTAAACACAGCCGTTAAACGCCGGTGCAATACACAGAGCAGCACGCAAACCATTAGAAGAAATCGAACCAGAGGGAATAATTAGACCCGATGAATGAGACCGGCACCTAAATGGCAAGAGCAATCCCGGATGAGGTCAACACCAAAGCCAATTGCAAGAGGTTCCGCCCCAACGCGTCCACCTTCTTCGCAACCGCAAGGCCCGAGAGTGAAAGTAATCCTGTAATAATCCGTTTGAGATAACCCACGAGGGGTGGGAGGGGGGGGCAAGGCCGCGGGGAGCCCACCGTGATGCTGTGCAGACTGCATGACCGCCTCCGCCTCCGCCAGGGGTCACGCTCCGCAGCCTGACATTCAGCGGCCGACCTTCGCGGAGCCAGCATTGTCGGCGACGGAGGCCCGGCGAGGCACGAGGCGCGTCTTGCCCGACTGCCCAGCTCCCACGCCACGTGTCTGGGACATGTTCCTGGGAAGTTCGGGCTCTTGACTCAATGCAACACGCGAGCCAGCGTCTGTCCGTTCAGACGAGCAAACATCACGCGCGCTGCTGACGACTGAATGAACAGCTGCGGAGTTCTCCCAATCCGCACATGATCAAAATTTACACGCCTGGCCTCAACCCTCCATAAAAATGCTGAAATAAAAGCTACAAATGATCAAACCACTGCATATCTTTCATGTATTCATTCTCCTTCTCAGCTCTTCACACTGTCCCCCTAATGACTGGGAATAAATCATTGCTGTATCAAACTCTTGGCCACAAAGACGCCACCTCCGTCGCTGGCCATAAACAGCGACAATACACTGGGCCACAGACCACAGTACAGCCGCTCGCTTTGGCCACAGACCACACCCGGCGAAATATTTGGATAATCTTAACTGTAAATATCAGAAAAAAATGTTCGAACGCACGCAAAAACACACAGAAAAGCTCGCATACACACGGACACGCAAACGCGCATATAAACACACACATGTACACACTACGTACATGAAAATTGAAAAACAAAACAAATGAAAATACTGGAGCACTGCATGTCTTTGTATATCCGAAAATGGTAAGATGGTAGTAGCATATAGTAGATACATACCATATAAAAATGATATACATACATTAATTGAACGTGTGGGACAGCATTAATGCATATATGTATACGTGTACATGTATGTGCATATACTGAGTACACACACACAATTATATATATATATATATATATATATATATATATATTATATATATATATATTATATATATATATATATATTATATATCGTATATATATACATTATATATATTATATATATATATTATATATGTATTATATATATATTTTATATATATAAATATATTATATATATTATATATATATATATATATATATATATTATATGTACATTATATATATATATATTATATATATATATATGTATGTATGTATATATATATATCATATATATATATTACATATATATATAATATATATATGTATGTATGTATGTATGTATGTATGTATGTATGTATGTATGTATATATATATATATAAATATATTATATTATACATATATATATGATATTTATGTAGGCCATGCCATATGTGTATAAATAAGTAAATAAATAAATAAATAACATACATTCATATATATACACATAATACATACATACATACATACATATACATAATATATATACAAATATTTATATACATATACATATTCAAATACATATACATTTATGTATGTATGTATGTGTATATATATATGTGTGTGTGTGTGTGTGTGTGTGTGTGTGTGTGTGTGTGTGTGTGTGTGTGTGTGTTGTGTGTGTGTGTGTGTGTGTGTGTGTGTGTGTGTGTGTGTGTGTGCGTGCGTGATATATATATTATATATATATATATATATATTATATATATATATATAATTATATGTATTATGTATATGTATTATGTATATATATTATATATATACATACATACATATATATAATATATATATATATATATATATATATATATATATATATTATATCATTCACACACATATACATGTATAAAAATATATGATGTTTATATGATATACATGTGTATATAAATAAATAAATATATAAGTACACACACACACACACACACATTTCCGTAAACATGTTTTGATCTTACGCACTTCCCTGACGTGTGTACATGTATATATAATACACTGTCGAAATAATACACTCTGATAATACATATTTCCTCTGAACTTGTTAACTGCGTTTTCTTTCTTTTTAAAATCGCTCTTAATATTCCAGGCAGTAAGCACTTCTCTGCCGCTTCTCCTTCGCCGTCGAGCTATTTAAAAATCTAGACATTTACTGAGAAATCCTTCGTACTGTTATACTGTGTTCCTCTCACCAACATATACCCTCTCGTCTCCCATGTACGATAATCACTTAAAAAATCGTTTTATTTTTCTTAATTACCTTTCCTTTCATTTTTTTTTTTTTTTTTTTAGTCAAAGAGCAACTTCTTTCTTTAAACCTGTTTTTTTTTTCTTAATCTCCCGGTAGAGCTGGCATTCCTCAGACTGGCATGTTCAGCCTCCATCGCGTTTGAGTTTGATTTTTCCGGAGTTGGGAACACAAAATGCAGTCAGCGAGCAGGCGCCCTTCTGGAAAGGCAAAGTCGTCCCTTCAATACACGGCGAGGTCGTTTGTCGCAACACTCACCTCTCGTCCTTTCAAATCATTTGCTGTGCAAGTCACGAGAGAATTGAGGACAGAAGTAACGGTCATGCATGTCATAATGTGCCCTGGACGCCGAGGCATGCACGGCCGTGGACTGAAGACGCGCCGACGGTAGGTTAACAGTTAACTCTTTAAACTTCCCGGATCAGTTCCGAATGCTGACCACCAGGTCCAGGCAGACTAAGCCGTTCCCTGCATAGGTCACCGTGCATGGGACTTTTAATTACCTGCCTTGCGGTTAGAAACATGACTCAAATTGCTGAACTACATTTTCGAAAAATGACGGTGTGCGATTTGCTCTCATACCTGGATATGCAGGCTTCCGTCGGCTCCTGGGAGATGACCAACACAATAATCCACAATCCATCGTTACAAGGTTATGACGTCACCACACAACACGATTGTTTATTCCAGACACGAAACCAGAGTGGCTGCGCCTCAGAGTTTCTCGTTGAAGTCACTCACACGGTTATTTTTCGTATCACTAACATTATTACACAATTGCTAATATGCTCTTATGTGAAAGCATATTGTTGATAGTGAAAAGTATTAAATAGATTTTTTAAATATTCAATGGACCAGTCATCTGCGCTGAGAGAATGGCATCACACACGTACCACCCACTTCCTGATCGCAAAACTGACCTCCGCCGCTCTCAGTGCAGGGAACCGCGCTGCCGACTCCGCCACGTTGTCGTACGTGATTACAAACATAACTGTATCGATTTCTATACACTTTAAATCCACATTTAGTATATTAATCATGAAGGCTTTGAATGACGTTTATATATGCCATTCCAACAATCGACTTTGAGTACGAGAAGATGGAGGTTCCATTATACGTCTGGCAGCGGACCATCGCCCATTGAACTGTTCTGCACCTGCGAATTTTGGAGTTGCCGTAACTCTTTGTCGTACAGCTGCACCTCTCGCCTTCTCGCTAATTGGCAAATAATTGTTTAAAACAAACATACCTGAACAATTACTACAAACAAACGCTTATGCACTCTTCCTAATATTACCACAATGTGACGTACGCACACACATACATACACGCACAAGTAACCCTGACTTCAGCTTCAGGCACTATTTTGTCAGCATAGGACTCTGCCGTTTCAGCGTAAAACTTGGACAGGACAGACGCGTGGAAGCATAAACACTGAGGCAGACAAACTCGGGTGTAAAACACGCTATACACTGACACACATACACACGACGATAAACAGACGCACATACAGACGATAGTTTGAAATTAGTATGTAACCAAAGATCATCTTATTTACAGAGTTAAAAGGTATTCTGTAAATACACCGAGTGGTTCATCCTATCCTGGGCGGGTTAGGGAAGACGCATCTCGAGACGTGGCGAGGGCTGGCCTGGATGAAGCATTAGGCACACCATAAAGTCCCAACAAGCCCATCAGGGAGCGGCAATAAAGGCATTTTGTCGCCGCCATAAATAAATATCCGAAGAGGATCATCCGTCAGTAAGTCCCGCTAAGTGTGTGACTCCCTGACCCCTGTGCGTTTTTATGGCCGCACTCTTCATGCTGCTGCTTAGGGAGCCTCCTCGGCCTGGCAACACTGCCCTGCCTCGCCCGATGACACTGCTTGCGGAAAACGCATCAAGAAGCAAAACAAACAGCTGATCCGGACTTTCGACTCCCTGGCGGCGCTATAGATGGCGACATCAGCGCCGCGGCCCGACAGCCAAGGTCCCGCGGTGCGCCGTCCGTCCGCTCGTCCGCTGAGGTCGTGCTGAATCCTCGGCCGAGTTGAATCAGGGCTCGACTTGAAGGCGCCTCGCGAGACAGGTGCTTTTCACTCTGACAGCTCCGACGGAGACAGCGCTGAGAAGAATGATGTGGTGTTGGAAAGCTGACAGCATCGGCAAACAGTCATGGAGGCGCACAGGCCAGACGGCACGTAGTAAATATTGGGTCTTTTTGATTGCATGCTTACTGTTATAACTGTTATACCGCTCGCGGAGTTGCTCAGCCGGGTCTTCGGCCTATCCGATCCGCAGCGCACGGAGAGGCTTCCACACACGTGGCCGGGAAGGTCTCCGACCAAGGCAAAGGGGAGCATGACTGCTCGGTCCCCAAATCAGGTGCTAATGGCGGCAGTAATCGTCTTAAACTACAAACTCGAGCTTTTGGTCTCAATAAATGGTCAGAGATTTCGTCGGCCCATTATCCCCTCCAGACCCCGTACCCCACCGCCCCCCCCCACGACACGACCGAATCGGCTCAATAGTCTCCTTCGCCAAGCACTGAGTACCTCGGGAACCACGAGGTGGGCACATCAGCTCGCGATTAAGACTCCTCCTCGAGCGCCCTCAATCAGCTGTGCGTCTGAAGGTGAAACTACGTGAAAAAAGAAAAAGAAAAGAAAGAAAGAAAAAAAACACCCACCTGTGATTTCCAGACGCGAGACTCCAGACGAGTCCGTGCGTTCATTTTTTCAAAACACAGAGACAATGGAAGCAAAGAAGGGCTAATTTTGCCAGGCTCGTCGTCGCTCTCCGTACCAGTATCAGAGGATCCATGAATCACCGAAAAAAAAAAAAATGTGTTTGGCAGCGTCTCTAAATCTCGAAAACTTTCCTGGATTGTTTACAAGAAAACGCGAAGAAAGGGCCACAGGTGCGTCCGCTACGTTATAATTACGCTGATGGCTGCTAATTACCTGAAAGCCCGACAGAAGCTGATCACGGGAATTTTGCCTCATTATTGAATGATTATACGAACTCGGGGACAATTACATAGTGTTCGCTTGGTCATTAACCTCGTTTCGAACAACGGTCAGGCCGTGTTTTACGTGGCCCGGCTGAGCGGTCGCCGCTTGTTTTCCTTTCGGGGCAATTGGGTTTCTTCGCTCCGCTAATTGCTCTCGCTGCTCCTGCCGTTTTAGTAGGACTGTATGCATGCATGCAAGTATGTATGTACGTAGGCAAGCATGTATGCACGTATGTATGTATGTATGTATGTATGTATGTATGTATGTGTGTGTACGTACACATATTCAGACATACATGCATATACATGCTGTACATAATGTACCTATAACCGCTAGATCGTCTGTGGGAGTGTATACAGGAGAAAGAAAAAGAAAGAAAGCGAGAAAACTAAGAAGAGAGAGAGAGAGGGAGAGAGAGGAGAGAGAGAGAGAGAGAGAGAGAGAGAGAGAGAGAGAGAGAGAGAGAGAGAGAGAGAGAGAGAGAGAGAGAGAGAGAAGAGAGAGAGAGAGANGAGAGAGAGAGGAGAGAGAGAAGAGAGAGAGAGAGAGAGAGAGAGAGAAGAACAAGAGAGAGAGAGAGAACAAGAGAGAGAGAGAGAGAACAAGAGAGAGAGAGAGAACAAGAGAGAGAGAGAGAGAGAGAGAGAGAGAGAGAGAGAGAGAGAAGAGAGAGAGAGAGAGAGAGAGAGAGAGAGAGAGAGAGAGAGAGAGAGAGAGAGAGAGAGAATGAGAGAGAGAGAGATGAGAGAGAAAGAGAGAGAGAAGAAGAGAAGAAAGAGAGAACAAGAGAGAGAGAGAGAAAGAGAGAAAGAGAGAGAGAACAAGAGGGAGAGACAGAAAGAGAAAGAGAAAGAGAAGAAAGAGAAAGAGAAAGAGAGAGAAACAAGAGAGAGAGAGAGGAGAGAGAGAGAGAGAGAGAGAGAGAGAGAGAGAGAGAGAGAGAGAGAGAGAAAAGAGAGAGGAGAAAGAGAAAGAGAAAGAGGAGAGAGAGAGAGAGGAGAGAAAGAGAGAAAGAGAGGAGAGAGAAGAAGAGAGAAGAGAGAGAGAGAGAAAGAGAAATGAGAGACAGAGAGAAGAGGAAATGAGAGAGAGAGAGAGAGAGAGAAGAGAGAGAGAGAGAGAAGAGAGAGAGAGAGAGAGAGAGAGAGAGAGAGAGAGAGAGAGAGAGAGAGAGAGAGAGGAGAGAGAGAAGAGAGAGAGAGGAGAGAGAGAGAGAGAGGAGAGAGAGATAGGAGAGAGAGGGGGAGAGAAGAGAGAGAGAGAGAGAGAGAGAGAGAGAAGAGTGAGAGAGAGAGAGAGGAGTGAGAGGGGAAAGAAGAATAAAGAAGAGATGAGATGAGAAGAGAGGAAAAAAGAGAGAGAGAAGAAGAAAGGAGAGAGAATGTACGTGTAAGATTGAATGTGTGTGGAAATGAAAGTAAAAGTATAAGAGTAAAAGAGTAAAAAGTAAAGAGTAATGGTAAAGGGTAAAGGATAATGAGTAAGTGTAATCATTTGTGCACATATGGAGATTTGGATACCCATACCCATACTATGAGAATAAAAAAAAAATAAAAATTGTGCATTCCTTACGTTCAAACAATTTTGGATATTTGAATATCTAGAAATGACAGCATAACAGATCTGATATATAAAGGGGAAAAAATGTTGAATTTCATTAATAACCATTGCAAATGCCCAGTGTAATCCAACACCAAAGATTTCAGAAGTACTTTCAACTTCAGAATTTGGAAAATGGATCCTTTAGCTGTAAAAGTCTGAAGTGAAACATGTATGATAATGCAAATACACTATGTGTTTAACAACCATTTTATTAAGAACTGACTGGCAGAACAGACTTCAGTACATATGGCACACAACGTGGTGACATCACAAAAGTTTTCCTAATGTTATTACTGATCTCATCCTTTGGTTTCATAACTCATTATTATAACAGATACATTTAAGACATGATCACGAGGCAGAAATCGTAGAAGAGCATATTTCTGTTCTCGGTCTACAGAGAGCCAATTCATAGTATGGCAGTTGGTATGAAACTATTGTTTTCCATCTTTCTTTTTTTTCCCCAAGTGAAGATTTTAAATGCACCAAATGAATTCCTGAGAAGAGAGAGTGTAAGGTAAGCATTACATTTGAAATCATGGTCACCTCCTAGAAAATACTGCTCAGCTGAACTGCAGTGCACGAGCTGATTCAACTTTGCTGTGAACTGACCACATACATGATGGTAGTGCAATCAAAAGTTTGGTGCTTAATGCTGCATAACCTTACACTCTGCCTTACAGATATATATATATATAAGACACAGTTTTTAGTTTAAACATGAAATTTAGGATTACATTTGAAGGTTTACCTTCATGAAATGACAGTATTGCTGATAGTGTAGCAATCAATTAATTTTAGCTTTTTGAAGTGCTATTGCTAAATACAAAACTCAAGGAAATCAGCATTTTGGTTATTTTGAAATAATGACAAAGTTCTTTACAGGTCTTAATAAGGAGCTGCAATTGCATGCTGACACTCTGATTATGTAATGGAAACTTTTTCATATATACTGTTATATGATTTAGTACTAGATATATGAGTAAATATATTCCTCTGCCACTGTTGTTTATACGTTCAGTCATCCATCAAAACATTTGAGAACATTTTAAACAGTACATGAAATCTCAAGGCCTTTCTCCATGGGAGTGAATCACTCACCTTGAGGTTTCCAAAGTTCTTAAAATGCATCAAATTACAGAGAAGCAAGCAGAGAAATTCTGTACTCTGAAGCAATACCTCATTAAATAATTATAGTGATATATTTGAAGTCATATAGAGCATTATGTACATCATAAGTACTTCACCTGACAGCTTGTGCACTCATAATGTAAGATGTTCAGAATAACTTGAGGAAAATACTACATACAGAACACAATGTGGACATTATAAATATTGAACATGGGTAAGTCTACTCATGTCTTACCTAAGTTATAATAAAAATAAGACAAACCTGATAGCACTATATATATACTGTACAGAGGTTTCCCTACCATCACAAATTTATTGTTGAGACTCCATGTACACTGTACAGCTTACTTGCTCTTCCTTATCAGGCACAAAGGCAACACAGTACACAATGCTGTAGACTGCTGGAAGATAATGGTAAGCTATCTTTACTTTTGAGTATTTCACTCATCAGTTTACATAAAAGTTTAATTCCAGGACTATATGCTAAAAGAGTGGGCAGTTCCATGAGAGCTGGAATATGTTAAAATAATTATGCATACATACATTTGATCCTATAAGTTAAAAGTATCCTGCAGTGGAAAAGGTATACTAAATTCATTAGAAATACTGGCACAACCAAGTGATTTTACACAAGAGTAAAATGAGCCTGACATTATCTTCCACCAGCCCACTGAACTCCTCTACAATTATGAGCTCAGTGGCAAATAAGTTGAGTCCTGCAAGGGTTTATATTGGTTTTAATGATATGCTCCTCTATATAAACTTAAATTTTAATTATCAGGAGAGGGAAAATTGTATGCACAACTTTCAAGTCATTACCTTCAAATAAAGGCAAAGTAAATTTGGCTGCATATATTGTATATATGTATATATATTCTTTTCTTTGTTTATGATATACAGTCATTTACTTACCATCACAATACTCTCAGATACTATACTTTGTCAGTCTTGTGGAGTTTTCCCTGGACAGAAGCAAATTTATACTTTGAACTAAAATACTTGTGCAGTGACTGTGAAAATATAACTAACTTATATTTTGAAGGAATAATAAGAATAAAGTAAAAAATATGAACTTTCAATATTAATTTTAAAAGCATCATTTAACTGCAGGATTTTTCTGTTTACGAGGTACTATAGCTTTGAGTAATTAATATCAAATGGTCATATAAGCTCACAGTAGACACTATTCATAATAGGGACTAAATAAAAATAGAATTTTTTCCCAGGCTAAGAACAATAAAATATTCCCTGTTCCTTAGCAACACTTAGTAGTTTGCTAAAGTTTAAATTATTCAAGTGAAACATTTTGTTCAGTCTCTGACTTATGAAATAACTTTTTTTCCATGTGGTTAGCTGAACTGTCTTATTGAACTCAGCTGTTTGATACAATTGTTACATCCACACACAAATAAAAGGGTACCATATATATTGTAGTAGCTATTCCTAACTAATAGTGATACCATAGTACTTCATTTGAAGGCATTTCTTTTATATATTACCTAATCTATGCAAGTGGAAAACCAGTTACACAATGAAATGTATTTCTAAAGCCTAAATGCACTTCAAATCACAATGTTATTGAAAAAATCATGCCATTTTGCCATTTGCCATGTAATCAAAGCACAGCCAGAAGCTTGAATATTAATTTTATTACACAGCTGGAACTCTTCCATTCATTCTTACAATCCTTATAATGTTCTCTTATTTGTATTCTATTCTGTAGTATCTTTATTACAGTGCTTCCTCTTATAATAGCTTTAAAAAAATGTATAATACATGGATTGGATTTGAACCCTTGCGTTATTCTCCTGCCTCTGGATATTTGATTAGGCAGTGGTGTGGGACAAAGGGATTTAATTTTTTATTTGGGCGTAAACTTTTCACTAAACAAAGAAACAAGCAAATGATCATTACACTTATTCTTTTCTGTTTTTTTTATTTATTTATTTTAGTGCTCAAGTAATGAAATTAATTCATTTCTCTTTTTGTGGTATAAAATATTTTTTTTTACCTCCATTAATGGAATATAAGAAACAAGCCCTTAATCCAAACATGCTATCATATATTTAGAGACTAAATTTTCAAAAATTTATCCACCTATACCCTACTTTCAAACCAACATGTTTCACATGGTATATACTGTAAGCATAGTGCTACTCTGGAAACAATAAAGAGTGGCTGCTTGTATGTTGATCATTTAGGTCATAATCTTCATGTTGCAGAGAGCAGCATCCTCCAGCTTTTACTGGACTTTTTTTCAAAGAGGTTTTGTGTAATTTTCACTATATTAGTTTTTTGAGATAGAATGCTGGCCACATTTGGTTGTCAGAAAGCAATGTGCAGATAATTAGAATGGCACCCTTTTGGATCCACCCACACACTAATCCACCCACACAGAGAGAGAGAGAATGGCTGTGGCACTTAGTATGCACGGACAGCACAAAAGGTGAAGCACTATATATACTGTGGAGTTTCTTGGCCAGTTAACAGGCGGAAAATTGAAGTAGGCATGGTCTTCATCCGGATCTGGAACAAATGATAAAAGAGCATGAGCATGAATATATATATATATATTTTTTACAGACACTGAAATAAAAATAAAAGTACTGTATGCATTTTCTGTTTTCACTATTTAATTCTTCTGTCTAACTCATTGGATCTGTGTGCCTAAATTTGGGCATGATGATTCCTTGAGAGGTGGCTCTCCGTGGTCTAAATGAACACTCAAGTCCAGCATCAAGACTCCTTACCTCCTCTTTGAAATGCTTTTAGCCTTTTTTTCTAGACACATTTTTGCGGTTTTACTATTTTCTAAGGACCACATCTTTCATTTGATATGCTTAATCAAAATGGTAACAAACTGTTATTTGTTATGCACACTTGATATCATCTCTCAAGATAGTTTATACTCAATTACTCAGTAAGTAACACTGCATTACCTGTTTTAATTTTCATATTTGTAAGTTATTCAGTTTTCTGTAATATATTCTATACCACCAGTAACAGTGGGCAAAAATAGATTCCTGTGCATAGACATAGCATCCTCACTCTTCCAGGCATGGTTAACGTTGGGACATTCCCTATCACCTGAGCCTTGGTAATATTTTCCCATGATGAGATATTGGAGTCACCCACCCCTTGGTCCAATAGGTTAAAACACTCATTTTAAGCTTTAAAATAGGAGATATATATACATGATTTCAATCCAAATGATGTGATCATCATATGAAAAGACTGGCTTGAATGGCAGGGGTTATGATCATGCTGTCATGGAAAAATTTGGCTATGGTCCGAGGGGATGGAAAAAACTTGCTGCAAGTGCACAAAGCTCTTGGAGGGTGATTAGACTTGGTGGGCACTTAGAAAGGGGCTTTTCCATTATTTCCACTGATAAACAAGTGTAGAATGTACCATCCATGAGCCATGACTGGAAAAGCGCTGGTTCCTTGGAGGACACTATTTCTATGCTCAGGATCCTATTCCTACCTGCAGCAAGTGGTGATGCAGGTTGTATTATAGAAACTTGAAAGTTATAAAAAAAGAAAAAAAAGAAAAGAAAAAAAGTTTTACTTACTTTTATTATTAATGCACTGAGTTAAGGACTATCTAAAGAAATGATATGGAGTCTGTGCAAGGAAAAAAGTTATTTATCATCTTGATCAAGCAAATCAAAAAATGAATATAGACATTGGAAGATGGCAAAAGGGTAAAAATGCTTATGCAGAAAAAAAGAAAAAAATACTGCAAAAGGAAGGCATATAGTCTTGTCACTGTACATAAGTAAGCCTAATGCCTGTATTCTGATTAATGTGATGGGATTTTTAAAATTATTATCGTCATTATGACTATAATTAATTTACCATAATGTTCAGAAAGCATTCTTACCTCACCAACAGAAGTAGCCAAAAGATTTACAATTTTTTCATGAGGAACAGCAACCACAGACTGACTATTTATATCAATAATACGATGACCAACACGTACACCCCCACGCTCTGCTATTCCACCTCGTAATAGACTACAGATCTGTAAAATACAAATTTCATGTAAAATGGCAAATTTTGTAATAAAGTGATTATACAGCTCCATAGCAAAGATTTAATTTTAGAACATGAACATATTTTTGTCCATCATTTTCTATTATGTCTACAAAGCAAGGACAGTATTTCAAAATGGGAATTCAATCAAACAATTTAAAGAACAGGAATACTTACAACACCGTTTTGTACAGAGAAACCTAATTGGTATTTTGTGTCGGGTCTTCGAATTTTAACTTCAACAACAGGTGGACAAGGTACAACTGTGAGCTTCACAGCCGTGTTATACTTTGTGTTCTGTAATACAAATTATGGTATCTAATGAAGTACATGAACCTTTCAGCTGAATCGTATTTTTAAAAGTAAATATTTCAACTGGTTTGCTCATTATAAACAGTATCTAATATTAACTTTTTTCTGTGGAAGGATTCATACCTTTATGTAGTTCTGGCATGTCGAAAGGGGCAATCCCACCAATGAAACGCCATTTATAGCTATTATTTGGTCACCGATGTTTAATTGGCCACACTTTGCAGCAGCACCCGTTGGTGAGAGGTTTGCTATGACCACAGTTGGGACCATAGATCCCCAACCCGACTCGACAACCACCACACCCAAGATTTCACTCTTCATCTTTGGTACCACAACCTGTAATATGAGTTGATAGATCTGAATAAAATGGTATGAAAAGTTCAGCATCTACTCTATTGTGAAGAAGGCCAAAAAACAAGGACAAAACAGGCTGCTGGCTGTTCTCACTAAAACCAAAATTACTATAATTTCGGTAAGCAAAAATTTACATAATGTACAGTACAAAAAGAGAAAAAAAATACAAGGAAAGACTAGACATATCCTTGAACAAGTTATAGAAAATCTTTCTACCACCACCACTCCAGTGATACTTTTGGCTGCAAATCTTAGAAATGACTACCAGTAAGAAAAAATCATACTGAAAAAACATGACGTACTGATAGCCTGTTATATGATACACATTCTACGAAAAGCTCTAACTTATGTGTGTTCACCCAAACTTGTATCCCTCTCCAACAGTATAGCTGTATCACTTACCGTTTTTGTGATATATAGGTCCTGTACGACGTGGACATGTGGACGGTGTGGGTGGGGCGGCAGAAAAGATTTAAAATGCCCATTAGAACATACTTTCACTTGGTGACTAATGACCGCATTTAAAATTGATTGGTCAAAGGTTTGGGCATTTGGGCTTGGTGGGCGTTCAGGTGTCATTTTTCATTTGCAGAACATAATCCACACTTTAAGCATAAAGCGATTTGCTTTTACTCCTGACATGTAAATACTGTATAGACATAACTACATGCATACAGACAGACATACTCAACTTAAATAAGCACTGCATCACACAAATTTTCATCATCTTACCATACATCCACACCAATACTTTCAGTGCTTGGGATATCAAATAACTAGTTTTCATATAGTGAAATTTAAAAACATCTTTCATGTGTTTTGTCTTACGAAAGAGCAATACCAGGCAGTAAAGAGCATTGGTGTGTTTATCTTTTCCTTTTACCTACCACAATGGGTTTACCAGTTGAGTTCTAGTCTACATGTTCTCTTTACCCATACCCATTAAATGTGACATGATCAGTCATTTTGAGCATTAGATAATCTGAGTCTCTTTTCTAATCACTTGTCCATTTTCTAGTGTTATGGGAAGAACTTTTCTGCATCAAAACCTATGGCTCAAAATTGATGACAGTGTCACACACAAAAAGTACATGTACTTAAGATTATTAGATTACTAATATTCAAACTCGCCTCTTTCTGCAGCTCCTTCTTGGCAAACATTTGCAGTTCATCCCCAAATATCTCTTGTGAATTTAGAACTTCCTGATAATCCATCTCTTTCACAAAGCTGTGATCTTCTATGCCATTAGCCTTCAGAAACTCAAGGTATGCAACTTGGAATGCTTGACCGATACTCTGAGCTATAAACTGTGCCTAAAAGTAAAAACAAGAAAAATTAATCAAAATGAACTCTGCAAAGACACAAATAATGAATAATTATACTTTTTTCTCAAAAAATCATACACAAAGGTAGTAATCTCATAAACCTACCTCATCACTTTCAAACACATGGCAAATCATTTTAGGTGTCTTCTGTATGTTGTTGCCAGTATCATCTGTGGGCAGAACTCTCCTTCTTGCCATTAGAACAACGAGATCTCCAATGTCAGCAATGTAGGAGATGGTACGGAGGGCATGATCCATCATGATCTCCTGAAGATTTGTAAAGAACTTTAATTGCTTCTGTCCCAACCAATAATAAAAGTGATTTGCTTTTCAATGCATGTTTCATGTTTGACTTTAAGAAAAAAAAAATATTGGTACATGTTACCACAGAGACTTGAAAAGAGACATTAATTAAAATGCTTACTTTTAGGTCTGTGTTCAGCACCATGATTTTTTCCGTGGATATAAAAAGATCCACTTCTGTGCTGGGCTGAGACTCTCCATCAGGGGCCTGGACAAGAGCAATAAATTTTTAATGCTTCATTATTCTTATAACAATACAGTTCTTGAAAAATTATTGCAACAGTTTAATCACTGATACATTAAACTCTTTTGTAACAAACTTATATATATATATCTACAAACAATGTTAGAATGTTGCAAAAATCTATGTTTTTTAAGTGCTATACCTACTATTTGTGCATAACAAAATTGTGTTCTCTTATGTTATAAGAAACATAAACCTTGGTTAGCAATAGTAGCCAAAGCAATCCTTTCTATTAAGTTCTGTGATGAGCTTTTTTTAAATACTCAACGATAATACTGATGAACTTTAGTCTACTGATATCAAGTTTACAAGTCATTGATAATGAACATGATGTTTAATATGGCCACAACTATGTATTCTAAAGAAGTTTAAAAAGTTTCATTTAAATTATCCTGTAATTTTCAATGGCAAAAGCCTTTCATGTTACAGTTGTTACTTGCACTTTTGAAAAGTGCATAACCATTCTTTTGCTATATTATCAATATTCTGGAGAGAGAAAGAAAAAAAATTAACTTATGGGAAAACTAATAATACTTATATTACACTGGAAACTTACTATTGTAGGATTATAAATTACGCAGAAGGAAAACTGCCTACAAAGGGTAGGAGAGTTGAATATCAAATCTAAAAACAATACAAAAGAGGGAATCTAGAAAGAATATAATGTGAAATGATAAGCAAGAAAGCATGAGAAAAAACTACTAACTTGGTTTCAAAATAGGGGAAAAAATAAGTAAAAAGGGTATTTGCTTTTTGACGATACAAAAGCACTTGGCCCCTCCTATTAAGAGCCATGGCTATTTTGGGGAATATAAATATAATATGGAGACCAAGAGAGATTTTCCATACTGACCAGTGCTACCTGCCACACATTTTAATCAATCCACAAACATACACCTGTTCAGGAAAGTCCCTAAAAGTTGGTAACTGTGTATGGGTAATTACCATAATGCAACAAGTAGTCCTGATGAGTATCAAAAATGTTTTTGATATATCCAACAAATCATAAAAAGAAAGAAAAGATATTTATATGACTGTTTAAAATAGCTTCAAGAATATGGAGTAAAGGTGTATTTGAAAGAATCTTGATAACATTCCAACCATGCATATTGCCATACCAGTGTAAGCAACATACATAAATTTCTTCAGAGTGCACTTAAGTGAACAGACTTGAGTGCATATTCTTAAGAGTTCAACCCAGCATTCCTTCTGATTATGAATAAGCAACAAATTACATTGCATTACTCAATACACTGATGCAATTTTAATTTTATTAATTAAATAATCATTATAGAACACCTGGGTAGTCCCTTTGAGAGAAGAAAGCCTATGTACTCTTTGATGCCTTACAGTCTAATTGCACATCTATGAGCAACTTACCAACGCCTACACCGCAGCAGCAAAGAGGAAAACAGATACATTGGGTTAGTGAATTTTAGGAAATGTTATGAATTATGTGTAAAGGTTATTAGTAAAAACTACAAAAAATATTCAGGATTAATCACTGAGATATGGTTATGTCTACAAAGGAGGCAAACTTGGTTATAAATATCTTTAATGAACTATTATCTAACTATCAGGTAGTCTCAGTGATTTACCCTGAAACGGTTTGCAAAATATTATCATTAATCAAACTCAGCAACAAAACAGCGTTTATCATTAGCATAATTAGTTAAATGCATTTTATGTCTTACTTTACTTAGAGTTACCAAAATGCATCTCCAATGTTCAACAGTGAACAATAAACAGTGACTGCTACTATTCCAAAAACTGCTATACACACTTCATTACAAAGTAAACATACTGTACAGACATAAAACATTTTACATCAATAAGTATCAATAAAATTTTAGCAACTTTAATTTCAAAATATCATACACTAACTACTAAACTATGCCATTAATGCCCACCATATTCTGTAATTAATGTTAATACACAAGGACTATCTAATTTTCTTAATTTTCTGGTTCTTTCCACCTTCCTCTACCCCCTAACCCCTTTTCTACTTCTCTTCCCCCCTCACTCAGAGAAAGTGAGAAAACTGAGTCTTGTACACAGCTTGTTCTGAGGATATCAATAAACATACATATAAAACATGTCTGAAGAGAAATTAGAGAAAAATACAATTACTTTTGATCATATCAATATAAAAAAGAAAGAAGAAAAGAGGTTAGCCATATTCGCTAGCAGTCATTCATATACCAATACTGCTCATTCATATATTCTAAAGAAAAGGCCTCTAAGTAAACATTTAAAAGACAGTTCAAACTTATTAGAAATAGAAAAAAGATTATAATTTCCTTTGTACATATCCACACATGAAATATTTGAAGCATTCTTTGAAATTCTTAAGAACCTCAAAAAAATCCTGTCTTTATTTGTATCTCAAAACCTTCTATCAGAAGCCTACAAGGAATATGTAAAGTACAGTCAGTCTCCAGCCATGATTTATATCATTGTCTTTCTTTCTTTCATCTACAAAGTCAGTATTTCAAGTGGACAATTTTCCCCAGGCCAGCTAATTAAAGATGACTTTATAAACATATAAGTAATGAAACAATGCACCCCAAAAACATCCTCCTGAATCAGAGATATGGCAAAGTGCATGATGAAGACTGCCAAGAAATCAGAGATATAGTCTTCAGAATACTCTAACTGAAGGTTTTTAGCTTGTATTTACAGGCAGGATATCGGATACTGGCACTTTTTCTGCTGTTGCTCTGAATCAGGTTTATGTTCATAAGTTATTCTCATAGCCTACACTTTACGATTCAGACTTACTGCCCTATACTTTTTAAACAACTTTCTTCCTTATTTGGTCTTTCCATCAATTCCTTTTGTTAAATTTTATCTTGCACAACTGCTTACATTTTCATGATGTCTTGCATCCCATTCATTTTTTGCTGTCACAAGGACTATGATAATAGCTAAAGGCATATTCAGCAATCAAACAATTTATAGTCATGATGACAAATGCTATCATCAATTTTGCCTGTGAGAAAGACCAGACAAAAAATAACTTTATATATTTACTTTTTCTTAACTTAATCAGTCCCTTTCACACATACATTCTATCAATCTAAAATTTAAAGGACATCTCAGAAACAAAAAAAAAAAAGATCCTGTAACTCTTAACCCACTGCACTTCCATAATGGAAAAATAGGATCCTTATGTGAACTTGAATAGAAGAGAAGAAAGAAGCAAAGAAAAAAAAATGTGCTTCTTAATCTGATGTATTGTGAGAAAGCACGGTACATGTCAAAAGAAAACAAGAGTTCCATTCAGAGCATTTTATAATTTTTCAAAAATATCATAAACATGATTCCAATTTACTTCTTGTATAATGCCATAGTTTCCTTCCTTTATGATCCAAATATGTAAATTAGATCATATATAACCCACCTTTAAACGTGAAACGGCCTCCATGACCATATCCTTCTTGGGCCGCTTACAAGTGGTAGTCTTGCGCGCAGGCGCTTTACCTGACTCCTCAGCAACATCCACCGATCCAACCAGGCGCAGGTGGAATACCGTCCCAGCAGGACCAAGCCCTGGTCCCCCACCCTCCTCAGACACCCAGTCCAAGCTCCCACCACCTCCATCTATATCCAGTTCCTCATCCCTATCATCTGGGGTGGTTCCACTGGCTCCTGGGACTACCGTCAGGACTTCTATGCACTGATCCTCACTATCAATACTATCATTTTTATCACCCTCCCCTTCTGTTTCATCATCAGCTCTTATGACCTTCCGTTCATCATTGTGTCTATCTTCCTCCTCTTCATCTTCCTCCTCTTCCTCCTCCTCATCTTCATCTTCCTCCTCCTCTTCATCTTCCACTTCTGCTTCATCATCTTCTACTCCCTCCTCCTCCTCCTCTTCCTCCACCTCCTCTTCACCATCATTATCAACATCTTCCCTCTCATCTGCCTTACTTTCATTATAGTTTTTACCATCCCTAATATCTAGCTGTTGCTGCTGTTGTGGGTCTTTTGGCTCTATAATAGTTACTATATTTTCCGAAGATCCGATGGGCTCTTCCAGAATGCCTGTTGGTAAAGGAGCCACAATTGTGACACTGGAATGGCCTGAATTTCCTTCAGACACATAGGGGCAAGCTGCCACAGCATGAGACATCCGTGGCATTGGTCTCCAAGCAGAGGTGTTCCTAGAGGTCATATTTTCAGGAGACTTTGGGCTGTAGCCTTGGCCTGCCTGCAGTGAACTGATTACCTGTGGACTGGCTTGGGCTCTAGGTGAAGGTTGGGGTCTTGAGGTTTTTGAATCTCTTGGGGAATGCAAATTCCTGGGTGAGCTATATTCTTTGGATGAGCTTGAATTAACTGCTGTCGGAGGAGGTACAGGAGAGTGATGGGAGATGGGAGACTCCTGTGGGCTTGCAGAGTGTGGGGGACCCGGGGGTGGTTGTGGGTCATGATTATCCACCAGCGCTTCCTTATCATCATCTGCATCCTGACAGAGGAATGTTGTTTTGGTTGGTTGTCTATCTACTGTAATGTTCTTTAAGTGGCGAGATTCATTAATTAATAATGAAAGTCGAGAGATAACTACAGAGGGATAGAGAATTTTTCAACAAGTTTGGAAACAGCTTAAAATGACAGAATTTGATTACTAATCATAACAGGTTATAACAATTTTACATTATTTATTTTCACTGCATCTACAATTAAGGAGGGGAAAAATTGGGGACTTGAAACATGTCTCTTGGAACACAATGGGACAGGTGAAATCATACATCTTTTTTTAAAGCAAGGCAAAATAAAATACATAACTAAACACATGAACAAGATGCAGACCTTCATGACTAATCAGCAACTTCATAAAGCCTGGGGCTTATATAATACTCATGACTTGGTATAACTAAGCCATGTTGAAACACAAGGTCTGAAAGGGTGGTCAAATTGCCATTTTCAAGAAGCTAGTTACTGTTACATGTTGCAGCAAATGACACACATGCAGCGACGGTAGCCAGCACGAAACCAAGGACCTTTGGGAATGACATAACAAGAATAACTATCAAAAGTGAAATTTTTGATGATAATGACAATACAATAAAATGATTCAAGAATAAATAACCAACCAAAACAGACATTAACACTGCCTGGTAAGCAGAATAAATGAAGAAGGAAAAACACTGGCATAGATTCTGTCTGTGCCCACTGTGTTACCTATATTATAGGATTCATTTCATAGGACTCCAGTAAAATTCACAGACAGATGACTTTCCAAATCACATCTGATAAATCATATAACAACAGATAACACTGTAACTTTCATGATCAAAACATGCTTAATTGTCCCCATGTCAAGAACAGTCATTGCTCTCTTAGATCTGGTTCCTCCCACAGCCTTAAAACCTCCCCTCTGCTCTACCAATAACTTACACTCAAAAAGGAAGACCATTCAGTCTACCTGTCAGTTATTGCATTCAAAGAGTACTTATTGGTTGCAAGATATAGTGATGGTCAATAAAGTTGTTAAAGGTATGCTCAATCATCAATGTGACATGAGACAAAATTAATAGAAATCTCAACTAACCTGCCAAATTACAGATATACATGCAGAACTGTAAATCTAATGGCAGACAAGATGGTCCATAGACTATAAGCTCCAACGTTTATGGGAATGCAGCATGAAGATACTGTATTTTTAAATTATTCTAAATTACTGGTTACTCAACATAATGCACTTTTGGGAGACACTTTGACAATGAATCTGCAGACAGACAAAACACAGCTTGCTTTACACATGGGGAGCACATTTCCAATAAAACTCTGGGGGTGTACAGTAGCTTTTAGGAGTCATCAAAAAAAAAAAAAGGTAATAACATGGTAACACAGTGTCACAAGGAAATGAAGACATGCAGGACAAAAGCTGTTCTTCCCACCAATCAAGACAACAATATCTTCAAAATCTTTTTGAAAGTTTGATTTCTGACTTTTTTGTATTTGTTAACAACTTGTTTGGAATTTGCTACTTTGTTAACTCTGATGTAAATAAAATGCAAGTCTTGTGCTCTCAAAAAACACATTGTTACATTGAAGGTTTAATGGGAAGTAAACAGAGCGTCTGATACTTATCTCACATAGTAGTGGAGTCAAAGTACATATTCACTTTTACTTGCTAGATTATATAGATCATACAATTAACAAACAAAAATTAATCAAATGACTAATTACTTCCTTGAATTGAAATATGATGTACCTTTTAAATTCAACTTGTTTCAAGTCCTATAAGTACACATATTCTTCTGTACTTTCAAATTTCAAGGATACAAATCCCCATGAAAAATCACTGATAGTACTAAAAAATCAGGTATATCTTTTATCTTGATTGTAACTATCTACAGTAGGGTTCTGCTCAGCAAACATTTCAAGGTCATGCATTCTTAACTGCATAATGCAAACATTTTACTATTCATTTACATCTAATGCATCTTTTCCATCTAAAATTTGTCATGATAAACATACTTGATGTTAATGAAAATACTAATAACTGTACTACAATAATGTCTCAAAAAAACAGAAAAGGGAATTATCATGGAAGATGCGTTGAGAAAGATGAGGTAAAGGAGAGCAGAACAGAGGAAGAATGAGAGGAGAAAAGTGAGGAAAGGGAGAGAAATAAGAGAGCTATTGACATCTGGAAGGAACAGATGAGAGGCAGTAAAGAAGATGCCTAAAATGGGAGGCACATATGATGAGATACAAAAATGGCGAGAAAAGGAAAGACAGAATGAATGGAGAAAAGAAGAAAATGAAAGAGAAGAAGAGAGAGAGAGAGAGAGAGAGAGAGAGAGAGAGAGAGAGAGAGAGAGAGAGAGAGAGAGAGAGAGAGAGAGAGAGAGAGAGAGAGAGAGAGAGAGAGAGAGAGAGAGAGAGAGAGAGAGAGAGAGAGAGAGAGAGAATAATGACATGTTTGTGCATGCGCAAATTTGTTTAGATGTTAAATACAAGTTCTATGTATAAATATATGTATGTATACCATATATCTAAAAGCTTATACACAAACAAAATGGCCATTACATATAAAGTTATATATGTGGTACAATCCTGTCTTCTTTGGTGTACCTGAGGTATATATGTATTTCCAACTAAAAGAAAATGCCCTCTTTAAAGGGTACTTGACTATCCCTAGACAATAAAAATGCCATGTATGACTCTACTAATAACTAAATTAATCTTACAAGGAAAATAAAAAATGAATCACTACCATGAAAAATCTCATTAGGCTGACACTAAGTCCATTTCCTCAATTCTATGATAAGAAATGAAATAATTTTTTCTTATCAACATTTTCTCCATATATTCATTACATGACGAATTCAACATAATATTTCTTCCTATAATCTTTATCATAATACCTGAAACCTAAGTAAATAATGTATAACACAATCTTACTGATAGACCCCAAGACTTCATCACTGTTCATTCACTTGAAAAATTCTTTGGCAAACACTGGAACTTACCTTGTGATCTTCCTCTATGACAAGACAGTGATGACATTCATTCTCCAATATAACACACTCTGATCTCACATCTTCCTACTTCACATAAAATACAGCTTTACCACCTATTGCAACTTACCTTGATGTAAAATACTCAAGACCTCCAACCTTACCTTTATCCGTGAAACTGCTTCTTCTGCTTGCATCATCCGAGTGGTCTTAGTGGGCTGGCCTTCGGAGACCAGCTGTGTTGAGCCTAAGTACCGAGCACGGAACAGAACTCCTTCAATCAACACTGCAGGTTCGTGGATCATCA